GGAGGCCGTGAGGCCAGTGGGACAGAGCGAGCTTGAGAGTCTGGTTCGTCTGTTTACATCTAATTATAGAAACAGGACTATTTCTGCAACCGCTGCTCCGGCTTTTTTATATTCTTACGAGAGCGAGCGAGAGAGAGAGAGAGAGAGCAAGAGAGAGAGCGAGAGAGAGAGAGAAAAAAAACACGAAGCTTTGACAGCCTTTTCTCACAATGGTGAACGGTTATCTCATCCCTTCAGCGCTGCTACAGTCTGCAGGCTCTCAGTACAGTACAACAGCAGGCAGAGGGGGAGGGGGAGAGCGTCTTGTATCGTATTCTCTCATCCTCATGTAACATGAATGTGCAAATTTACGAGAAGCGAGCAAAGGCAAACAAGGCGATATATTTTCCCCAGTAGCCTCACTGATGCATTCAGTTCACAATGAGAAGAGCAAAAAGAGAATAGTTTCTTCAGCCCTGTCCTGGGGGCTCCCGCTTCAACCCGGCAGAAAGTGCTGTCCATCACGACAGTCAAAACAAAAGGAAGAAAGAGTGTATGTTAAGGATTAGCGTTGTATAAAATGTATCTGGTATTTAAGAGAGTAGTTAATCCTTAAGTTTGGAGGCGGATATCCAGCTGAGTGGCTGTTGTTAGCCGGGTGGGCCTGGAGGAGGGAAGCTGTCAGCCTTGTCGGCCCGCCTGGGGTTGCCAGGTGAGAGCCAGATCGGGGCAGGGTTGGACCTTTGGGTCTGGTCCAGACAGGTTGCAGCCTCTTGCAGGTGCTTTCATGAAGAGCCCCTGAGGCCTAATGCTCAGCCCACTGGATGCAACCTGAGCCAGGTGCTCCCCAACCCCCACCCAAATACATAAACCACTACATAATGAAAATGTGTGCTTGCGTACACCCCACCGCCTACCACCCAGTCCACCCCCTTTATTCTGAGACATGGCAGGTCAATTAATTGTCCGTGAGTATGTAACGTATATGCAGAGATAAAGGTGCGCTGTCTGGCCGAGGCGTAGCGTAACGGCCGTAATGATGGCTCTATTGTGTTGATGTTGAGGGGAGGTAGTTAGCAGCACAGCCAGCAGGGCCCTTGCTAGAGGGCTGGATAGTCTCTGATTAATAGCGGGGAATGCTTTGAAGTGACACCCGAGTGCACCGGCTCACAGGCTAATAGCAATACCATCAGTATAGGGTGTGCTCCCTCTTCCTCAGTCTTCATTACCTAACGTTTCCCCGGCGCTATCTAGCCACCCTCCCCTCACACGCCCGCCTCATCTACAGAGAGAGAGCCTTTAGGATGCTCTCAGCTTTTTTTTTTTTTTTTTTTTTGCAATTGTTCATGATTTCACTGTCATTTCTCTCCGTCATGTTTGGTAAAATAGGAAATTTTTTTTTTTTTTTCCATTGAAGGTGGCGGGGAGGGAAGGCAGAGAGAAGGTCTTTAGTCACAGAGCTCAGCTGCATAGGTGAATGTGGCACAGCCTAAAAAACTCATGGGATTGATGTGGCATGGTTGGGGACTATTCCCAGGATCCATTTTGATCTCCCGTACTGACAGATGAGCTACAGCTGTGTGTGTGCATGTGCATGTGCATGTGCGTGTGTGTGTGTGTGTGTGTGTGTGTGTGTGTGTGTGTGTGTGTGTG